AATTTTAATAGTTTAGATAATTATTACAAAGCCTAATAAAGTAAAGGCAAGACTGCCGAATTATTAAAAAAAAAAAATTAAGCTAAAAAACGGTTTATTTTTTATTATTATTTTAATAGTTTGCTTTTCCCGATGAAAACTTTCTATATATATACTTCTTTTTTATTTATTCATAGTAGTTTTTTTTTACTTTAAACTGTATAAATAATCTGTAGACACAGGTTGAATCAATGAATATTGGGTGCATACCAGAAGACAAGTTTTCTGTTATGTACTCGATAGTCTGCTATAGATTCACCAAATTTGCTATTATATTGCCAATATGCTACTGTTATTTAGCAGTTATTTGGCGGATCTATGGCAAATTATCAGGTACATAGCAGGAAACTTGTTTTCCTGTATGCACTCGATATTCATTGATTCAATCTGTGGTAGTTTTCTAATAAATTGATTTGAGTTAAAAAAACTCACTATTAATAAGGCATTTAAAAAAAATACTTTGTTAGTCAATCACTTGAAAATTGAATCATTATAAAGCACAAAAAAAATGGAAACTCCAAATGATAAAAATAAAAGATATTGCATTCAATCGCAAGAAAATATGCGTAAAAAAAGGGAATCAGAAACTGCTGAAGAACGTGAAAGGCATTTAAAAAGGGAATTTGAGTCAAGACGTCAGAAACCAACAAAATGTCAACTAGAGAACAATAATGCCCAGAACCAAGATACTAATTTATTGTATATAGAATCACCTTCTGTTAATATTGAACAGCAACTTTCTGAATCTGATCAAGATCTTTTACAGAATTTTCATACTAAGATTAATAAACTTGCAAATAAATTATATTCTATTTGTAAGGAGTATTTTCCATTGATTGAGCTTATAGGTGTAAGAAAAGAGTATCATCACTGTTATTATGATACTAAAGATGTTATAAAAAAATTCTCAAAAGAAAACAATATGGATCCAGGTAATGTACCTGAAGAATTACAGGGGCTTACTGAGATAGAAGAAATGTTAATTGCACAAATTTTTCCTGTTATTTTGGTGTATTGTCTTCATAGAGGTTAGTATTGTTACAATACTATAGCCTTCTTGGTATTGTTATAGCAAGGTAACAAGGTCACCTGGTGTAGTGATATATTTTATAAATATATACAGGTGGATACTTTTTACTTCATAGCAGAAGGCAAACGGTTCAAGATAATAACAGTTTATAGAGATGATAATATTTATTAATAACAGATTCACAGTAATATTCTTTACTATAGAAATAATCTAAAGAGAGAATATTACACTATACAAATGTAAGAAGAGTAATAAGGGTAGTTAGGTAAGGCTAGATTCTATGAGAGGGTAGGGAACTCTGACTTGAGCAGAAGGGGCAAAAAGCTCCTTTTTATAACTTTTCTATACATAGGAGGTGTAACGGCTAAACCGTGTAAGAGGCACTTAGAGGCACTATGAAGAGGCACTCAGAGGCACTTGGAGGCACTTGTATACAGAGGCACTTGGAGGCACTCGTACAGAGGCACTTGGAGGTACTTGTACAGAGGCACTTGGAGGTACTTGTGCAGAGGCACTCATACAAAGGCACTTGGAGGTACTCGTGCTACCTTAGGTATAGTATTACTGTGCCAAATATAACTAGCCAATAACATCTTTATAACTAATAAATAATAATATAATAATAAGAATAATAATAAAATGCTAACTAATACTGTGTTAATAAATATATAGTAACTAATAATATAATGATAATACAATTGTTCGAATATAAATTAACTATTCTATGCTTCTGTCGCACTGTGTTACAACCTACTTTGTAATATTTTCCTTCCCTTAAGATTTTACTCCATAAAATCTAAACTTGTTGGACTCTAACTATTTGTTCACTGAGAGTTATAAGTTCATCATAATCCTCTTTATTAATGTTGTTAAAATCTTTAACCTTTAGTACTTCTGTTTGATAGATATGATTATACCCTCGTGCTTCAAACAAATTAAATATTCGTTTGTACGTCTTGGCCTAGGTTTTTCCTATAGAGATAGTAATCTTGTATGGTTTACTTAATTTGGCTCCCAGGTGGTATGCATAGGCAAGGGCATAAATATGGCATTGGTTTTTTCATTTGTACTGTTTTGAAACATTATTGTATAGGATGAGAAGTGCTACTAATTCTTTGTTGGGGTCTAATTCTTTTGGTACTGTTACTGAGAGAATTAGGTCATTCTCTTTTGGTAATAGATCAGCCTTGAATTTGGCTAAGTGGTCCTTGATAATAGGGGCATTGTTTGTTGCAGCCAGGATGGTGCATGCATGATTTTCATCCTGGATAATTGTCACATTGTTTGGATCAACAATAATAGTTCCGGGGTATTGCAGATTGTTGCACAGTTGGTGTAACTTGCATGCTTGTCAGTAGACTTGAAGATTTAACCAAGCAGGTAGGGTAGTCATTTTAGAGCAATAGTTTTCAAGTGTTTATAAGATTGGTAGGGTAGAATTATTGGAATTAAATCTAAAGGAAGGTAAATTCTTGTTCTTTAAATATTTTGTTAAGTGAGTATTTGTGCTATGAAGTTAAAATGACTTTTCTATTTTGTTAAACCCATACTCATTTCTTGTATTTCCAGCATGCTACAATTTGTTTACACATATTTGTTTTGTATTCCCACATGTTTTGTAATTGTTTCGACAAAACTTGGCAAAAATTCTTGGCCTAGTATGTGTTTAGTTATTTTCTTTGTCTTTTTCTCTCTTAAAATTTGTAAGGTCCACCGAACTTCCATTTTAGTATGTCTAAAATTAGTTTCTATTTCTAATTTGTTCATTAGTATCTAAATTTGTAAATCACATCATTATTGTTTGTGACTTCTTTGTTTTGACCATGCGATAATTTTCTTTGTCCTGGAAAAATTATCTTTATTGTTTTTAATTCTATTTATATTCGTGTTTCTGATGTGTTTTGTTTCTCAAATTTCACACACCAATTTCTTTTCCTCGTACGGTTCTTTCCATTTTCCTTTCTATATTTCTCTATACTAAAAACTTTCATGTCTAATACTCTTTTCTTCTTTTTCTTTTGGCAATATTTTCTTGTTGAATTTTTCTTGTCTTCCTGGTCTTTGCTTTTTATCTCTTGTTGAAAAGTAGGTATACTTTTCGGGCTATGTGCTAAACTTCGTTGGCTTTACTCCTTCGGGGCAATCGCTGGCTTTCCATGTCTGAGTGAGCTAACAGTCCTTTGTGCTTGGATGATTAATTTTCTTCATAACTTGCATGATTGATTGTATGGCCTCGGTAGATACTTTCCTCTTTTGTTTTTTTTCCTCTTTCTTTTTCTTTTTCTATACTTCCGTTTTTCAAGTTGTCTATCTTAGAAAAAGCATTCTTTTTCTAACTTTTTCTATTATTAACTAGATGCCATGTATCGCTCGCAGCCAGTTGGTTCTGTCCATAGTTCGGGGTTTGCAGAACCAAGTCGCAAACCTTCAGGCTCAGGTCCAGGAGCACGATCTGACGGAGCTAGTATGGCTAAATTACCAGCATGAAATGCAGATAGCTAGGTTGCGAGAGGAGAGGAATAGGCTTCGAGTGCGGGTAACAGATTTGGAAACAGAGATAGGGGATTTAGAGTCAGAGGTTAAGACATTAAGGTTTATGGTAGAGAGTAGTCTGAGTTTTAGTTTGGTCGAGTTGGTGGTTATTCCGGTTCTTCTTTGTTCTATGTTTTATTTTTTTTTCTTTTTCTTTAATAAAATTTTCAGTTTTTAATTTAATTAAATTTTTTTTTTTTTTTTTTTTTTTAATCTAATAAACTATCTATCTAATGTAACTATTTTAAGTTTAATAAAATAAATTTAATAAAATATTCTAAGCTAATAAAATTTTAAGTCTTTTGTCTATTAAGTTTCAATAATAATCTGTGGTTTCTATCCTTGTCGTTCGTAGTATTTTTCGAGTTTATCACTATTGTAATATTGCTTGAGAATTTGACCTTTGTGATTTCGTAGTTTGTATACACCATTTCCAAGTTTGGTACATATTGTATAGGGTTCTTTTTTCTTTTCCTCAAATTTCACAAATCTTGAAGTAGCAATATCTTTATATTGGATCCAAACTTTTTCACCAACTTCAGTCTGCCGATTTACCGAATTAGGATGTTGAATTCTAGAATGATCTATGTAAGGGCTCTTGAATTTGATTGGCTCTCATGTGCTTTCCTTTAACGTTTTTTGTAACTTTTACTCCCTTATATACACACTATATTTAACTTATTATTAAGAACGAATAGTACAAACAGACAGTATTATAAGCTTAGTTTCAATAATTCACAAAAATCTACCCTAGTTAACTCTCGTCAAAAAAGTAAATGAAGCTTGGAATCGTAGGATCTTCTTTGAATAATAAGTCTGTAATCTTATTAACTAAATAAGATTTAAATATTTTTATAGTATTGGAATCTCAAAGAATAAGAGCACAAGATCTTCCATGCGTTTTTGAAAATTTAGTTGAAAAATACAAAGAAATCGGTTTTAAATCTTGCGAAACAAAAGAAACTCAAAGATGGCGGCATGCTAGTGCACAAGAAGCAGCTAGGCAACTTGCATTTTATCATCTATATTTTACTGAACTTGCTAACATTCGTTCTTTAACAGTTTATTCTCTTTGTGAAAGATATTATAATCAACTAATTGTTTCTAATCATTTATACGATTTTCTTCAAAGTTCAGCTGAAGAACTTAATAGAACCCGGCCTGATGATAATCAAAGCAACGTGACTGATAGCTTTACTGTTCCAACGGCTACGTTTAGCGAGGCTATGAATCATTTGGGCTTCGTTTAAACAGAAATTCAGCAGAAGCTGCTATTAATTTTGGACCTCAGGGATCAAATCTCATGAATACAGCAACTTATAAATAACCAAAAGAACGATATAGAGGAGTTAAAAAACCAATTGCAAAGAGCTCATAACAACATGAATGAAATTCGAGATTTGTATAATGTACAAAGTAAACACAATGAAGCTCTTGTCGAACAGTGAAACACCAGATTTTCTAATCAGCAAAAATGTATCAATGCAGTTATTGAAATAGCAAAAGCAGGTGGGTTTAAATTTTTTTTTTTTTTTTTAATTTTCCAGGTGTTGCTCGCCATGGGACGCCAAGTAGGCGTATTATTTTAATGTTATTGAATTAGATATCTATAAATTTTTTTTAAGCCTAATCAAAATTCAACCCTAAATTTACGTCTTAATATAACCCTAACATCTACAGAACGTGTGTCATTATTCTATGAAATAGAGTCATTAATTTACAATAAGGCTAGGTTTTCTATGGAGAACATTATGATATATAGTCCACGCGAATGGCTTAATAGATACAATCAGGTAATCGTCAAATTTATAGAAGCCCTGGTTCAGAATGACCGAGATGATACTTTAAGCCAGGAAAAACTCTTTAAAACTGCAACTGCAGTTGATTTGATATATGGAGCGCGTTATAAGAAATATGTATCAGAAATCCAGCTTGCTCTTTTGGCTATTAAATATTCGATCGCAAGGTCAAGAATCATAATTAATATCGACAATCACATCACGAATTCGGGAAGTGAATATCGGTTTTAAAATTGGTTAGAAGAATTATCAAAACATGAGGAACCTTTACCTGAAGGCCTTTTATTTCTGGCATTTGATAATGAGCAACGGGGGCAGAAAAACTATCTTGATCGAGGATTCAATAAAGTTATTTACCATATCGTTACAAGCTTCGTCGGATTCAATATGGCGCTACAGAGCAAAATTCAGCATATCGATTTATCTTGGGCGTGTGATTCTCTTGACAGGTCACAATATAATGAACTCTTTGATGTGAATACTCAAATGCAAGAAGTCATTGATAAAGAATTATATTCTTATCTTAGTGAAATTTTTAATTCACTATCTGAAGAAAAACTAACATCTACTAATATTATTGATTCACTTATAGAATCTACAGGAGCAAGTATTACAAATATAAAAGAATGCCCCAAATGTGGTCAAAAAAAGATTGAAAACCGAAGAAAATTA